ATACTGTCTCGCCTTCTCCTTCTCGTTTGAAATGATTTCAAAAGAAAAAGGACCAAAGGACAAAAAAAAACAGTATGAAAATATTATGTCGGAAAACAACTGCTCGGAATCAAATTAATTAAATATAATACAAAAGCGAATCTATTGTCTGTTTCCTCTTTTGGGACCGGAAAACCAACTTGCAGTTTCGATTCTTTCGGAACTCGTATTTTAATGGCACCTACTATACGGTGGCCTCGTATTTTTGTTAAGGATGTGGCAGGACGGGGGTGTCGCGTCTTTTTGTCTTTCGAAGAATATTTCTGCCTCTTAAACGCCGTTGTTGTTATTAATAATTAGAAAGAAAAAAAGAGGACGAATACGCGACTTGTCCCCGTCGTCATCGCCGCCCGCACAGCACGGTTTTTGGATATAACAATGACCTGATGAATTTTTTTTCTCTCTTTAATAAAGACGACTAACAAAAGCTGCAAGTTACAGCAATTAATCAAAATATTTTTTTCCCCGCCCCGCCGGTTTTTGTAAAACAAGGCCAAGTGGATGTTGTCGAGTGCGTCGTCGAGTTTTCACACAACGGCCGTCTCCAAAGTTCACTCTAAAAACAATACCTACCCGGAAAGTGTTTTTGTTTTTTTTGTTTTTTATTTATTTTCTATTCTGCAGCCCCACTCCTGTTTCTCTCCGGCCGGTACTTTCGCTAGATCAAAACTTGTACTCGAGTGGCTCCCGACTTATATATTGTGCGCGAGTATGTATAAAACAATGACCGACCGACGGTGGTGGAAAAAAACAATGTTTCTCGCGTGTAGTTACGTGTTTAAATTCTTTTCAAAATTCAAAACTGAAACCGTCCGTACGTGCTTTTTAGTTTTTTTCACAATGTCGTGTGTACGAGAGTAGCCGTTGTACACACGTCGTATTGTTCTTCGCCGTGGCAGTATAGAAAAACCCATTACCTTAACGAGCGTGCTCTGAAAATGTAAATTTTTCCATAAGTCGTATACACTATAACATATATTAAAGTCGTATATAATGTAGTGGCGATATATATGTACGGTTGCACTTAAATTCGAGAAAGTCGGGTCACAATGAATTAAATTAACAATAATTGAATTCGGTTAAGATATTGCAACAGCTGTATGCATGTTGACCGGTGTAACATAAATTATTTTGTTAATCATCCGTTCAGCTAAAATGCAATAAAAATCTCAAACTAGTCGGAAACGGTCGGATTTCCGTTTTTTACTATAATGCGATAAAATCAATTTCAACAGACGTATATATATAATATGTCACGGCCAATGTAACACTATTGGATAGTTGATAACATTTTTTTTTTCAATAAATATCACCAAAAGGGGTTTTTACGAGTTTTGGCCCATATGAGTTGCAAACCACTGCATATAAAAATATATAAATTATAGTCACAATTCGAATTGAGATCATTTATTATTATAGTTATTAAATACTGATAACGATAGGAAGGAATAATACCGGACAACTACAGTATACATATGTCCTACTTTCGTATTAAACGAAGTATAATAGGTACACCGATTTTCAGAGGAAAACGAGGATCGTAAAAAACATAACAAGTCGATAGGTATTATTTTTTAATGACATTGACAACGGTACATAATATTATATACATCATATTATTATTGTTGGTGATGAATGTTATGTAGAATTATATATACAGTAATATTATACCATGGTATCGCATCCCAACATAAAATATTAAAGTACACTTGGTTGTATATATGTATATATGTAAGCACAGGGCATTAATACATTATTTTTAAAAATGAAACCAAGCGAAATAATTACTGTCAAAAGTATTCATTCAATTTTTTTTTGCGATTTGTGTTTAAACTTTAAAAACATGATTAATATTTGTCTTTGAATTTAAATATTTAAAAACAATACATTTATGTAATTTAATATAATTATATTCAATTTGATATTGTTTAAGTACAACAATATTTTAATAGGTAATAATATGATAATATACCTAACTACAATACGATAACTTAGTACTTACACTCAGTGTTCGGACTTATCTAGATAATTATTTGTTCATCTAAATACATAGACACAGTTTATTTTTATAGTCATTTTAAGTTCAAATTTGGACGAAATTACATATTAAAAAACCTAGAATAACTTTTTAGTCATTTTATTGTGATTGTTTAATATTATTCGTGGGTACTTGAAACTCGGCCAAAGTATACTACTATATATCTATGATAGTACCACGGCTTGTTATTGACGTACAACGTGTTATAAGTACCTAATGGATATTGTGATATGATTAATTTGGAATTTATTATAGATACCTATTATAGGTCAATATTTTAATACCATAGATAAGTTTAATTTGTCTTATACCTAGACTGACATATCGTCTCCGCTCAGAATCGTTCTTTTTATACAATGATATTATATCATTGAATTCAAATTTAATACCATCCATTATACAGTGACCCACTTGTAACCTACTGCACAGCAGAGCAATTTTTTTAAATATTTATACAGATTCTCAAACAAAGTTTATGGTTTATAAATATTGTAATTATTTTTATTTATATCATTATTATTATGTTCCAAGTGCCCAACTAAAATATACCTAAATTTAAAACCATTTAAAAAATATTTGTATCTTTTTTTTATCTAGATAAAAAAGTATTTATCTGTATCTAGATAAAAAAAAATACTTATCTAATCCGAACACTGCTACACTATTGCGTATAGTGCATATTATTAACTATGTGAATCATGCCCATTGTTATTAGTTATTACATATCTCTTTTTATACCTATAATATGTCACAATATTAACCTTTTTCCTAATGGAGTGATTGATTACTAATTATTAGGTATTATTAAAAGCCATTATTATACCGTATTAAACTGAAATATAGGACAGATATATAATGATATTATGTCAAAACCTATAGGAACCACAATTATTAAAGTAATTACTTATCGAATTGACTGGGATATATTATTATAAAGAGTAACTACCTTACAAGAAGAGAGAAAAAAACACGTCAATAAAGGGTAGTCTGTGTATTTTACTGTATTATTATTGGCGACATTATTTAAGTTGATGCTTTACATTTCACATTTATATATTTTTAATTAATTTAATTTTTGTAAAAGGTTTAAGGCTATATTATATGTACATTGTACATTGTACATATATATATTATATTATCTTCATTTCACGTCTAAATTATATATATGTATATGTATATGTATATGTATATGTATATGTATATATATATTATGTTTAATTAATTATTTTTTTATAAGAGGTTTAAAATGATAGGTATTTGTTTTATATAAATAATAACGTAGTGTACCTATACCTACGTTCCTTTACGTGTTTTTTTACTCGGAAAAATGTTGAAAATCCGTTCGGATGATGTCGAACATTAACAGGGTGATAAGCTTTTGTAAATAACAATTATAATAATAATAACATTATAATGAATATGAAAAGGGAAACAATTACATACTGGAATTTACAAAACAATTAAAATCATGTAAAACGCAGTGACATTCCTCTGTATAAAATAATATTATATTATTATATGTAACAATTTATTTTTAGTTTTCGTAACATGGTTTAAACACATTTTATATTATTACAGTTGTGCAAATGACAACTTAATATAATTTTACATACCAATAAACACTTATTCGTATGCAAATTCGTATCCACTTGAGACCCGATAACATAATTTGGTTCCAAAAATATTATAGTACATGAATAGAAACTTTTAAATTTTACGAGAGTGTAAGTATAGGTTCCTATAATGAGCACGTGCGACGTATAAAATATTTAAATTTTATAGTACCCAGAAAATTACTGATCTTAGATCTATGCGTGCATTACTTTTAGCGAGTCTTTATAATATTATACTCGTACATAATATAATTTATTACTCAAAATTCAAAATATGTTGTTTATGAACCTATATTCAAAGCTTGTTTGTGTGATTATATTTTAATAGTCTACATTTGTAGGATATTATATAATAATAATTATATTATAATAGTTTTCTATGATATTATATAATTTATGATAATAAATAATAATATATACAGATAGGTTGGTATATAGTATGTTATTTTAACATTATTTAATTATTAACAACATTATTTAATATACTGCTGCTGTGCCTACCTATATTAATTATTAAGTACTAGTAAACCAGTGTACTAGTATTTATAATCAATGATATTATGTATCCATCACTCCGTAATAACGTCGATAGATACAATATATTATACAGGGTGTAACAGATAGAACTGACTTTTGAAATAACTATTGTCCTAATCAATATTTAAATTTTATTTTTCTATAAAATTTATATTAATTTGCACAATACATATATTATACAAAAAATTGTTTTTATTTTTTAACTGAAAATAAAAAAATTTTAATTTGATTTAAATTTTTTTGGATATATTCAAAATAGCCAATTTGTGAATCTGATTGAAAGCACAATTTTTATAGTAAAAACATTTGTCCAAGTCAAGTAGCTTATTTTTTAGAATTTTTTTAAATATCATTATTTTTTTGATTAAATGACATTTTAACGTAATGACTTTTTCAAAATATTTTTTTTCTTGAATTTGCTGAAGAGTATATATTTTTTTAATTATTTACTAATCATATCATTTTAACAATTTTTGTCATACTTTTAAGTAGCATCATTTTTTTTTTCGTCAAGTCTTTCTGTTACTCAGTTTATATTTATATTATATCGCGTCAACCACATTCCATGCGTTATGCCGGTATAATATAATGCATAGCTGAGTACTTTTTACTCGAATGGTTTCCGAAGTCATAATAATATAATATATAATACACGCGGTACAATAACTTGTGACTAATATATACTTTCTCGACTTTATATCTATTGTCATCGCTGCATTTATATAATAATATAATATATTACACAGGACTAAATCGATGGTATCTGATTTCAGACGATGCTGTACGCCTTGGCAGACTCCCTCTCGGCGCTTGGCAGAGACGCGGAAGCCGAGCTCTACTACAGACAACTGCTCCGGGTCAACCCTACAGACGTGTCCGCCTTCCTGACGTACGGCGATCTCCTGGCCAAAAACGTAATTGCTCAGGGTTTTCTGTTTTCTTATACACATATTATACGCACACACGTGTGTGATTCGGTACACTCGAAGCTGCACATGGCAGTGCAGGAGGTTTCCAACTCGATATATCCTATAGGTATATACCGATACCGCGGTATGCGCCAATATGTAATGGAGCATCATTTGATTTATTAACCCTCCCCACACCCCCTTCCACGGATCGAGTCTGGCCGACGTGTATTCGTTTAATTGGTTTCCCCGCCGTATTTCACCACCATACATACTGCAGTTGGTTATAGCGGTATATATAGTTCGGATAAAAATAAACTCTCAAAACATCGCTGCAAATGTTATAGACCTTCTGCGTTAAATTGAAACGGTTTACGCACTCGGAACGTGCGAAGTATTCTAACCAGTTAACAGACTATCGATACGTTCCTGCAGGTTACATTCGTCAAGTCGGTCATCATCACTCGCTTGACATTTTTTCCCCCTGCGATCTGCAGTCGGGTGTCTGTTAACCTAAGTTTATATATTATAATATACTCAGTGTGGGCGTAACACATTTCCACCAAAATTGACCTTTCCATTTTCCACCTTTATACCCGTTTCCACCAAATGAGGTAATGACCATGTTTACACCAAAACAATTTCTATACTAAATATTAATTAAACGTTATTATATTAAGCGCTATATTATATAATATATAAGCTTATTTTTAAAGCTGTAATATAATAAAAAATTAATATACTACACCATGTCATTTTTTTTATTACATTTTTACATTTGACCATTTTTTTTAAAATAAAATTTAACATTTTCTGACCTATAATACTATCAATAATCTAGAAATTATTTTGGTGGAAACAAATATTGGTGGAAAAGATGAAGACACACTTTCGGTGGAAACGGATAATGGTGAAAAAAGGATATTTCTAATTTTTTTGGAAACGGGTACCGCGTAAAGGGAGGAGGTATACAGATTTTAATATACATATTCAGTACACACATATATTCATATTATCAAATACACTATACATGTTGTATTGAGTACAAAATTTGATTAATATAGTTTGAAACGGTAACTTATTTATTCATAATTCGCTAGTATATGTATATTATGTATTATAGACCTGCGTTAAATTGAAACGGTTTACGCACTCGGAACGTGCGAAGTATTCTAACCAGTTTACAGACTCGATACTTCCTGCAGGTTACATTCGTCAAGTCGGTCAACATCACTCGCTTGACATTTTTTCCCCCTGCGATCTGCACGGGTGTCTGTTAACCTAAGTATATATTATAATATACTCAGTGTGGGCGTAACACGTTTCCACCAAAATTGACCATTCATTTTCGACCAATACTCGTTTCCACCAAATGAGATAATGACCATGTTTACACCAAAACAATTTCTATACTAAATATTAATTATACTCTATTATATTAAACGCTATATATAATATATAAGCTTATTTTTAAAGCTGTAATAATATAATAAAAAATTAATATACTACACCATGCCATTATTTGTATTACATTTTTAAATTTGACCATTTTTTTAAAATAAAATTTAACATTTTCTGACCTATAATACTTAAATCAATAATATAGAAATTATTTTGGTGGAAACAAATATTGGTGGAAAAGATGAAGACACACTTTTGGTGGAAACGGATAATGGTGAAAAAAGGAAAAAAGGGGGTATACAGATTTTAATATAAATATTCAGTATACACATATATTCATATTATCATATATATTATACATGTTGTATTGAGTACAAAATTTGATTAATATAGTTTGAAACGGTAACTTTTATTCATAATTCGCTAGTATATAATATTATGTATTATACGTAGGTATTCGTTATCATAATCCTTTTTCAAACGATTTGTGTTGTATACGCTATTGTTGTACCTCCGTGTCGGGAATAAGTCCTATAGACGAGCCGATATTGTTCTTTAGTTCTTATACATATAATACAATATATTAATATTATATATTATGTATTTATGTACTTGTTATGTGTATAATACTATAATGTATACAGTACATATTATATTGTAATGCTCGCAAACACAATATGCGTACCTATATAGATTATAGACTTCTCCCGACTTCTCGACTATATAATAATAATAATAATAATAATAATGATAATGTTGGCTCCCTGAGCCCTGGCTAGTCCCTACAACAGCAGTAAATATGACATTTATTTACGCTCGCTCGGTGTACACTCGGTGTAAGCCGATTATACCGCCGGTGTAATGGTTTTAATTAAATTCAACGCCGTCATCGATTTTGCTCTTACATTATACGCAAGTATATAAAATTAATATAATAATAATACATCGTTCGTACACAATAATACACATAATATAAAATAATATATATGTTTATTATGTATATAGGTACACACGGTATGACTGCGGAAATGAGATATATTTATCATTATTATTACCTATATGTAGTTATTACGCCGAGCTGTGGTGAAGTTTTAAAAGGACACTTTTTTTGTTAAAATAATATTGCATTTTGTTTGATCTTATTTGAACAGGAAAAAAATTGTTTTTTAAATATTCATAATAATTATTCACGCCGTGATTTATAGATATTGTCATCTTATATTAACTATAGTCTATTATATTATTAATAAACTAGCTGAATTACCCGGTGTAACCTGGAAATAATTGTGATTGTTCCACTCCTATTGGGTATTATAATAATAATAATAATAATTTAATTAACGGAATAAATTCCAATTTACAATAATAAAAATAATGACAGTTTCATAGGTGTGTGTTATACTAAAAAATTTAAACAAATGATATAAGAACGAGAGAAAAAAAAAAGAATATAATATGTATATATAGAGAAATTAAAAGTTAGACAATTGATTATATAACAATTCGATTAAAATTAATATAATAGTAGGTAATAATCTAAAAATGACAATTTTCCGAGCTAAGAGTCATATTGAACAGGTCCAAGTTGTTAAAACAGTTACCACATGACATTAATATAATAGCAGGGTAGTATAACACGCTGTGAACTTGTAATGTCTTTTTAAGTGTAAATTATATTGTATTTTAATGTATAGCCTCCCGACGGCGTTGTCCGTGAGATTCGCTTGTGATTATGCGAGCAGTATATTATCAGGTAGGCAATCCACCTTTTTGAACTTGAGGCATTCTGTACTACTAAAATACATAGAAGTGCAACTGAGTAAACAGGCTTATCGCTTTAATAATAATTATTCAATAGCAACAATTTATAAGCAAAAATGTTCACTATCGTAAATCTCAAAATCCATGTTTGAGCACCTCACCTAAAGGGGTCGGGCATCTAATTTACCCTTTTTAAATTAGCCTAACTTTTTCCCATAGGTCTAAACAATCGTCCTGTACCAAATTTTATTGCAATTGGTCCAGCCGTTTAAGAATGGATAAAAGACAGACATACAGACAGTGACAAACATTATTCATTTTTATAAATATATATTTATCGTAATAATTTGATATTAGGTATACATAGGAACTTAAGTAGGTAATAATATATATATATTTATTTAAAAACGTTTAAATGGGGAGGGGTATATACTATATTATACATTATAGGTTCTATGACGTTTTTAATACGACAAAAATAATAATTGCTTATCAATAATATTAACAAAAAATAGGTAATATTACAGTATCAATTTTAAGCCGTAACGTGATTATTGTGAGTCTATCCGATCCAACATCACATCGTACATTTTAATTTAATACTTACCAACATGTACAAACTTTATAGGTACTAGTATTTATTAAAATAATGATTCAAGAGGCTTATTTACGAAGAGTATACCTAATTAGTTTCTACGAGTAGAAAATACATTAAAATTGCGTGATGAAATATGACGCAAATCCTGCTGTAAAATGGAAAAAATAGAAGATTAAAGGATTAAGAGTTTAATTAAATTTTAATCTTAATTACAATTTATAACATTTTCTTATATTTTCTATACGTAGAAACTAGAAAATATTATGAACTTTTACAATATAATAATGTAGTCTTAAGCTGCGCGTTGTTGATGTAAGTGCGGAGCCCCCCTCTCCTTCAGGCCATCCAGTTTTTCGTTTGTTCGGATCAGCAAGTCAGGCGGCAATTTAAATTAAATTTGTTTTTAATTTTAAAGACTGTAAATCGTATATTTATTTATTGTTGATACAAAAAGAAACTCGTAACGGAAAAAAGCAGCACTCGTCTCGAACATGTGACTGCACAAAATCACGTTGTTAGGGGCAACGATCGTTGTACCCGCAGACTCACTGCAGTTAGGTTTAGGGTAGGTCGCGAGTAGTCGCACTCGCGCACGCTGTATACACTGTATAAGTAAATATTATTTTGTTTGGACGTCGTCAGATATTATTAGTGTTAGTTTAGCATGTTACTGTATTTTTACGACCGCGACGGCATGCAAATATGCTTTTAATATTGTATAATATGCTATTCTAATATTATACAGAATGATATATTACTGCGTAGTTATATACTTTTAGTATTTTACAATTTAAATGATAACGTAAACCATTATTTTAGGAATCGACACTTCTAGATTCCACAAAATGTGTTTATTATTCGTAATTCAGAAAAGAACCACCGTAGAAACTTGAGATTTTCACCAAATATTTATATTATAAACATACTATGTATATACAAGTGATCTAATTTTAAGAATAATTTTTTTTTTATAGTCATTGACTTTTTCTCGTTTTTTTAAAATGTTTCTTCGATTGATGTAGTTGACATTTTTGTTTTTTTGGTCAAAAACCTTGAAGTTTAATAAGGAGTATCTAATAAATTGTGTTTCGTTTATTTATACATAGAAAATTTTTAAATTTATAATGATTTCTGCGTAACTTGAATACATTTTTTACGCAGAATCTTGATATTCGTAAAAACATTAAATATCAAATATTTCATGGTTTCATCCACTAAACAACCGTTTTTTTCTCCATCCTGGCATCCTATAATAACCGATAGGTATTATATGGGTGATGGCCTAGGTTAGGTATATCTAAACGACTAACTTGTTCTGTAATTAAATTAATAAGAAGATATCGTACAGGTGTTTGGCATATTATAATGTCCACTATTATAATTACCGGAAGCCGGTTCTACAAATATAATTTTAAAAAAAAAACACAATCGCGTCTAAAAAATATGAAAAAAAAAATACAAAATATTATAGAGCGACCAAGATAATTCATAGGTATTTACAAAAATTAGTGGCCAGAGTAGTCATATATATATCTAGAAATTATATATATTTTTAATTTTTATATATTATATATTATATATCAAACTTTGTTTTTCAAAAGGGCTAGACCCGTAAATATATATAAATAAATAAATAAATAAATAAATAAATAAATAAATAAATATATGAAATTATAGTAAATATATATATATTTTTATAATATAAATTATATCTTATTTTAAATTTACACAAATATAGTACCAACTATATAGTAAAATTGTTGATTATTTTTAATTATATTCATTAGCTTTCGTATAGAGATACTACGTACAGAAACGTTAAAAATTAAAACCGAAGATTAAAAAAAACCATTTTTCTGGAAATCAAAACCATACGAAAACATTTAAGAAAAATATATAATATAACGTAATAATTGTTGTCGTTTTCTCTACTCGGCAGCGTTCGAGAGTGTCCGAGGCAGAAGAATGGTTCGGCAAAGCGCACCGGACGGCACCGGACGACCCAGTGGTGCGGACTAGGTACGCTGATTTCCTGTCTTCCGTGGGCAGGCTGGACGATGCGGTGGAACAGTACGAGGCGGCCGCGGCACTGGCTTCCGGTGACCACGAGATCGTGGTCAAGACGGCCACGACGCTTCGCAGGGTCGGCCGGACGTCCGACTCGGAAACGTACTACAGGAGGGCAGTGCGACTTTTTCCTCAGGTGAGTCATCGGGTGCAGATGTAATTTTAAGTTTTTTTTAACACATGTTTAGGCGTATCAGGTGTACTATTCTATCGTACAATCGTGATGTGATATATTATAGGTGCACGATAAATAATTATCAACGCAAATAATTTAAAGATAAAAAAGTACGTTTCCCCCCCCCCCCCCGCATTGTGTTTTTGCAATGGGTTTTTGGCCAATATTTCGTACTGAGTTTGTAACTTAAATTTGTACGAATTTATTCTTGAAGCTATACAACAATTCGAGTGGGGGGGCTATAGAAACGTTTCTCCAGCCCACCCATTTCCAAAACTATTTCTATAAAACTTCTATGCAGTCATTTATAGTACGGAATTTGTACCACCATTCGCGAAATTTTTCAAAAATCTTTTACAACCGAAAAACGTATTTTCCTTACATGCTGTTTCCCCAGCCCCCTCCCCACCAAACTGTACGTAAGATAAACTCTATATCCAATAACATATAAGCTGCACTTTATACTTGTGAACTCAAAGGTTGAAAAACTTGTGTTTACTGTTTTTCATGCCCCAATCGTGTCGGGCTACAAGAATATTCCGTTCTTAATAATTCCGATAATTTTTCATTCAGTTCAGGTTTTTGATGTGAAGTACCTACCTATTTATTATAAAAATATGACGGAATCGGTGCATTCTTGATGGTTGACCGACGAATTATAAGACATAATATTACATCGATAATAAGGGTTATTTTCCATATACCAATAGAGTGCCCTTGTTATAGGTCAAAAAAAAAATATGTCGACGGTCGGACATAAAAAACGTCATATTTCATTTTTATAATAGGTATTTTTTTTTTTTGTCTAAGACCAGATTCAAAGCCCCAGAGGGTTCAATAATTCTTAGAACGACAGTAATAACGCGAGTTTTGTAATGGTATATATCAGCAAACGTATTAGGAGATTTGATTCCGTATAGTTCGTAGAAACAAGTCAAGCTGTAGTTTTTATCATAATAGAATCAAACTTTAATTCTCGTAATGAAAAAAACTTTTATTTATTTAAAATATATTATATATTAAAATCTTTTAATATTATAATATGCATTCTTACAGTTGTAGGTAAACAAATGAAAAAAAAAAAAAATATAATTGCCGACAAAGAAAGTCGAATTATTTGCCGGGTCGGATATTTTCAATACATATAATAATATATATACCGGAAAAAATGAATGAAAACTTTATCTCAGAATCATATTATATAGGTATATAATGTATATATTATATTATATTGTCTCCCCGTTTGGACTCGCGAACTGCGTGATATTGACATTTTTCAAGCTCCGCCGAATTTAAATGGGAAAATTCGATCCCAGCATCGCTTACGAGTGATATATTATATAGGATTGGCGAGGGCGGGATTTCACTTTGAATACAACGCAACTTTATACACGCAAGTTACGAGATTAAAGTGGTTTAAAAAAAACAACGAACTTTTTTATAATTAATTTAAAATATAATATAATATCTATATATCTAAAAACTATTAGGTAAAAGAATATTTCACGCCTTCGACGAAAACCGATCGTAAAAAAAATAAACCTAGTCGATTTGCATCCTTACAAATGTACTTACTTAATATTTATATTATATTAGGTATACATTTTAAGCCCCAGACGCAATCGACCTTTGATAGAGGCTCATCTTGCTCATTTTATGTGACTGTATGTGTTCTCCTACATGAGTGTTTACTAGTGGGTTCCTCTAAATTTCCCAACCTCAAAAAAATTTCAACTATCAAATTGTTATTAAATTTAATATGACAAAAAAATTATGCACGTAACGTTGCCTGCCCTCCCATATGTCACGGCGTATTGAATTAAACTTCATTTTTTTAACCACTTTCAGAATTTTGGTTTCATTAGCTTGAAATATTTCTTATCAAATATTTAACTTGTAATTAGAATGTATTTGCACTGCAGGTTCCAAAACACTATGCTGGTTCGCAAAATCCATTCACCTAATTCCCACGTGTCCCGAGCCCCCAATAGTAAAACAATTTAAGACTCTTAGGGTTATATTATTATTATCGTGTGTACAATTTTCCTAGGTTATTATTCTCCTAGGATATTTGTGTCCCCGGTAGGTATATGATTTGAGAGGGGTTGAGCTATAAATACCGTACCAAATTTTTGCCCAGGGTACTATTAACCTAGAAAATCGTTCGACAAAATATTGGTTTAAAAAAACTATGATATTCCAAGTATTTCGAGACACGTGTGAATTAGGAGAACGGATTTTGCGAACCAACAGATAACAATATAGAGCAGTGGTTTTCAAACTTGTATTAAACACGACACACCGTGCTCCTCACAACATTTTCACGGCACACAGACTTTTTTTTTGCACTAAATAATTAGATGAACAAAATTGTTTTGAATTATAATTATATACATTTAATTAGAAATGTGTACTTGATGGGCTAACAAATTTTTATTAATTTTATTTTTATAATTTTTTCTTGGACGAATAGTTGACATTTTTCAGAAGACCTCGGCACACTTAGTGAATGCTTAAGGAGCACCAGTGTACCCAGTTTGAAAACCACTGATATAGAGTTTAAGGACCGGCCGTACAAATACATGCTATCATTACATGCCAAATAATAGATTAGACGAAATTTATAAATAGGTATTTTTAATATATTGTGGGGTGGAGTCGTGGAGATTGGAGACACGTGCTTAATTTTTGATATCGCGCCAAAATAAATTACACGCAAATTCATGCTAAATATTTGCCAGAAAAAAAGCTAAAATTCCAATGTGGGGATGCTGGGGACACCAAATAGCAACGGCCTATAAAGTAAATGTCAGTTTATCTCATATTATACTGTTGAGATTCCGAAATGTATACATTTTCTTATTTAATCAATATACAACTACTTAGTATTTCTAATAACCTAACGAGAGTATACATAATTGACCGAAATATTTGGATGAAAATATGAAATAGACATATTATTCTATGATAAAGAAAAACTAAGATGTCGGGACAAAAATAATTTGATGACAACTATACCTATAATATTTTTAAGTTGTATGAAGCTTATTTATTTACAATCTACATACATTAAAACACACACCTGCAGTAAACAGATCTACAGTACCCTCCCCCACGGTACCACAGGCTAATGATCTTAGTAGTTGAAGCGTTAACCCCAATAAAAAAAAATTATTAAATATCATAATATGTTTAGAGTTCACCCCCTCCCATAATAAATTCCCTGGATCCACGCCTGCAGGTCTCTCCCGCGCGTGAATATAAATACGTAAATATAATAGCTGCCTTTCATATATTATATTAAATAATAAATAGCTCGTTCTATATATTTTCATAACCACTTTAATCGCTTAACCCGCGGACGTGGCCACTTTAAGCCACGCGTATAAATAGCTCGCCACGGTGGTCCGAAAAACGCATATGACTTAACGCGATTAAAACTGATATGATAATAATATTATAATATTTGATTAGCGCCGGGAAGAGTAAACCTGCCTAATCGTCACGAGCATAGAAGATAATTTAATAACAGTTGATATGATAATACGTTAACGACCCGAATGGGTTTTCGATGGGTGGGAAAGACGCAGATTAATATAATATGAATATTAAATTATTTAATTAGGTCTCTTTTTTGCCGTCGACGAGTAAATAAATAAATATATACATAAATTATTTATATAAGTTATAAAACGTTATTCTGTTACTGATCATTCAACAGGTGCCTTGGGGGTATTATATTATAATATATTATACTATATCGAAAGTTTTTTTTCTAACGCCACGGTGTACGGTAAAGTAAATGTTATGTCATTTAGCTGCAGCCTTTGGGCATTATCGATTTCGGCGTATAATAAATAATATTTATTTATTTTTTGTACCAAAAGGTTTAAATTATTTTACCAGGAAACCCAGAGAAATATATATATATTTATGTCCAAGGCACTGCCTTTTAGAAAATGTACGGATTTACTTCGTATTTATAATTTTTTTTTTTATCATATATTAGTTACCAGCTCGGGTTTAATTATAGTCATCGAATGTTTATCCGGTTGCGATAATAAAATAAATAAATTTCAAACTTTTAATACATCTTTGAGGTATTTTGGTTTTTATGATATATTTGAGATTAAAATTATGGGTTAGCCAGTTTAACTTTTAAACCAGTCTAATAATGTATAGATTTATAGACAATAGTATTTTAATACAATAGTCTTTTTTTTTATTGAGAATAAGCCTCGGCAGTAGCTGGGCCATTGGCTGATAGGTTAAGTCTATTATTAATAGGTTATTTTGTTAAAATATATAATCACAGGTTAATAATAATTATGTATTTTTTTTATTAATAAAAATCATACCATTCAATTTGTTTAATAAAAAGTATAAAGTTTGTTTGTTCGTGTCAGGTCCCTGAAACTGCCAGTATAAAAAGTTTATGAATTATACAACAAACGATATAACTATTTTTCAAATAATGATTTTTTTACTAAGCTCATCACGGTGCAGGTATCTATTTGGTATTCATAATAAACATTAATTGTTTCATTATGGGTATATATTTTTTAACATTTTACGTTAGGTTTCGGCTATACTTTACATAATTTTTTAGTGCATTAAATTTAATCCAAAGCCCTATAGATATAATTTTTCTGTTGGTAACAGCGAAACAAATGACACAAATATTACATCGTTTAAAATGGTTTTTTTTTTCCGGCAGGACGCGGCTAGTCACAGTAACCTGGGAGCCATACTTCACATCAACAACAAGTTGGACGAGGCAGAACGGTCGTACAAGAACGCACTTCGACTGCAGCCGGACGACGCGACCACGTTGGCCAATCTCAGGAAACTCAAAAACGTCCATCACCGTCGGCACACGGTCAAATGATCCGTCAAATTATTAAATAGGTGCATTGTACATGCACTTGAATGTATACCGTGGTCATACCGTGTTTATACCGTGGTTATACCGTGGTCATCCGCGTGGTCATCGAAGCCAATTTCCTACAATATTATTATATTATAAAAATATCTCGTATTCGTTTCGCATATTCTTTAACGTTGCGTACACTTATACTAGTTATACTTTTCTTTTTCGTATATTCTTTCGTTTTGTATAACAATATTTTAAAATGTTAAGTCTTATTCTTTGAGTTCTTTTTTTTTCCAAGACATTATACTCGTTGACATTATTATTATATATATTATAATATTATATTATATACATACATTTTGTGTATTGACGTTGCGTATTATTGCAGTGAGTGTTGTGTTCCGATCTTCTCGTTTTTTATTCTTCGAGATAAGAACTTTTACCAGCTCAGAGATAATGTGTGCAAGACTTTTATACTTCATGACGTCACTCCTTGACAGTAAAATACGCTTTCGACGTAGGTACGTTATTTTTCCACCTTTATAATTTTATTTCCTAATAATAGGTATGCCCACACACTCTTTCTAATTATTATTTTAAGTATATGTCCTTGCATTTTCTTATATAAACTAATACTAAGTACCTACAATATGCCAGTGGCGTATTTACAGGGGGGGATAGATCCCCCCTTGACCTTTTTTTTTGTTAAGTTAAGTTTTCTCATTAGGTAAGTATGGTGTAAGTACTGTATTTTTTTACTTTTCTGAGAAATTATTTTTCATGCAAGAGTGTTTATAATAAACGCTATAAACAGTTGGTAAATAAAAAAAATTAACATGAAAACTGTAGATTTACCATAGGGTGTGGGTTTATTTGTAGTGACTGATGATGTGTAGTTATTAACTGAAAAAAATTTATTCATCTCTGGTTTACATGCTTTAGATATTTGTTATAAAGAGTTTATCCAAATATTCATGAACTCTTATGAAAATATTTTGTACTTTCCCTGTATCAACTGTTACACCTGAACGAAGTTTTTCAAGTTTTTATTAGGTAAGAAGTCTTACCTAATATAAATAGTATGACAGAAGTAAATATTTTATCAATTTTCCTATCTAATATTGAATAATAATTATAAATTAAGTAGTAATTATTATATACTTTGTTTATTAGAACCGATTAGGGCTAACCTAATCTAACCTAACCGACTAGGGCTCGTTTTACAATCATAGTTTAAACCTCGGTTACACTTAACCCACTGATTTTACAGGCCAAATTCCGCAGTTTAACCTATTGTAATACGCCTTATTCCTTAATGTGTTGGCTTTATTGACATTTCACCGGTCAATACAATAATAATACCAGATGAGGTTATCGATGAACTGAGTAGGTATCCAAAAAATGAGAAAACTGGATTTTGTATTATAACTATTTTTGTTGTTTATCGTATTAAACACGGGATTGGGGCTAGTATGAATTTATAATTAATGCTATTATAAGAATTAGGTGCTATACAGTTTGTGTTTCTTACATCGCCTTGTCCACTTACTTCAATAGGTAACGCAACAAGTTAGGGGATTTCAAAAATATATATTATGTGCGTATTTATAGATGTATTATTAATTATTATATGTTTCAATCCCCCCCCCCCCCCCAAGCAAAATTCCTAAATACGCCACTGCAATATCATAAATACTTATGCAATATAATATGCATATCTATTGGCGTCGCTATTTATTAAATTCTATACCAGGGGTGACCACTAATCTTAATCTTGGGAACCGCAAATTAATAAAGATAAAGGGGGGTTAACACGACACAGTGTAGTGTGAACCGCCCTTAATTCGATGCGAGCCACATTCTAAAGCGATGTTCATAAAACTAAGACACATTTTTAATTTAATATCAATTAATTTTTTACACCACATGCACACATATATTACTATATTTAGATTTAATAAATTTAACTATTTAAGCGTTGTGTACAATGATTCACACACCTACATAAGTAGTCCCAAAGTTTAAAATAAGTCTCTTAGCACACTCTTTTGTTAGTGTGGGTATTTTTCTTCTGGAACGTGGGCTCCAAAATTTGAGCTACACATACTGAAAATTACCGCCACAATCTATAACAACAACATTTAATGATAACGAAACAGACTACCTTACGATTCTAACGGAATTATATTTATAAATATTTTAGTCTGAGCTTTGTTCAAGAACCACACGAAACTGATTTTTGTGGCCACCCGAGGTCTATACATTTAAGTAGGCAGTGCAGCCGTAACTTCATATTGCAAGGCTAGTATAGGTACTTAAATCATATTAATAATAAAAGAAAAAAAATTGTATTTATACGTCGTCTTGGTCGTCTGTATAGCTCTGCGTGAAGTGAAGTGAAAACTGAAGTTCAAAAAAAAAATCTGATTATTATATTACATGGCGTACCTATCTATGCGGGTAATATTATACGACACGGTGAGTTTTTTAACAATATATACTGTTGCATGCGGAGTTCCAGAGATCGATGGTTTTAATAAAAGACTTTTGGTTGACGTATACGGTTTCTAGAAATCCGTGGCAACACCTGTTGTTGTTTTGAAATAACCACGAGATGCACGATAATCCACATTATTATAATACTATAGTATATGGCTTTTAGGAGTTCGTAGCCCGTAACACCTCCCCACAAAATATTTCGACTTACCTATAGGTATAGGTACAGCTGATTTAAATTTTGCAACGATTTCGTTGATTTCATTATACACTTTGGATAATATGTTACATGTTATTATGTCATTTACAATTTCATTTTACGTATTTCTGTAGATAAAATAATAATATATTATGACGTGTTAGAAGTGTTTAATTAAATAGGAATATAATATAAATTATTAATAAAGATCCTTCGCCACATAATAGTTATTACGTGGATAATATAACTAAACGCATATTACATATTATGTAAAAGTATGGTTAACATATTACATTTTATAGTATATTTTTTTTTAATTAGAGTGATTCAATATGTAGTTATTAGGATCTCGTTTCATTTCGATTATTGTTAATAACTTCCTACACTTTCCTTCGCAGTGTTCTTTCATAAATAACTCAATAGGTAGGTACTTATAGTTATTTCGTTTAACTTTTTAAACTCGAAAGGTTGGCTTAATTTCCCCATTTGCTTTTAAAATACGCCGGTTTATGTATTATTTGTACTTGTTTCATTTCATCTCCCTTAAGCCTATAAATATGAACTCCGGTGCTTATGATTTTTATACATTTTTCGATAAATTTCAATTCCCTAGAAGACTGAAATAAACGTAATCTGGTATATTAGTTTTCATATCCTCCACCGTATTATAATATTATGTTACCGATATACAAAGCTGGGCACTAACTAGTTAGAAAGTTATAGTTAAGTTAGTTTTAATTCATATTAACTTTGTAACTTAACTAGTTGAATTTAATGTGTAAAATAGTCTAATCTAACTCGTTAGAAAAAAACTAACTAGTTATTATTATTATTAGTTTTTTTTTTCATTCCAAAATTAATATTTTAAGTTGTCATACTATTATATATTTTTTTATTTTGTTTCACCCTATATGTTCTAATAATTTATAAGTGATATAGGTACCAATTAATTTAAATTATTACTCACCTAATTAGAACATTTTGATCAAATTACTAGGTGTTTAATTCAATTTTTCAGTTTTAATCAATAATTTAAGTTAGATAACTTATTATTTACATTTCAACAAAAAGGTTTTGTAATCTATACAAAAAAAAAATTCTAACTTCTACTCTAACTTAAGTTACTATTTTCACCAAACTAACTTCAAACTAACTAAGTTGGAAATTTGGACAGTTTCAGTAACGTAACTTATATTCTAACATAGTTTTTTATTAAAGTAACTTAACTTCAACTAGTTGAAAAAAATTACTATCTTGCCCAGCTTTGCGGCTATATAATATTGTTATCAATTTAATTATTATATTTTTTAATTAATAAGTATTTTTTTTTTTTTTTATTATCTATTTCCATCTTTTCTTATCTCTTTTCCATAACTTATAAAGTTTTATAATTGGTCTAGTCTTAGAAACAATATGTAATTTCTAAAAATACGTTTCGTTTAAATTGAATTTGACAAAAGCTGAATCATGCTGATACCTACCTATAATACGTATACAGGTAAGTGTAAACTGTAAAATATTTATATTTACATCGACAGCATGATTCTCGGCGGGACGCGTTGAAAAATATTCATATTTTTTATTATTTTCACAATTCCCAATTTTATCGCGCGTACAGAGAGTTTAAACAAACACTGCTGCATACCAACAATAATGACTGCAGCAAACGTAACCCGAGTGATAAAAAATAAAAATCGACCCTCGAGATTTACCCTCCGGAATATAATATAATGTGGCGACGCGATATTCCTGCAAATAATATTATACGTATTATAATAATAATAATATGTAGGTACCTAACCCTTCAGTGTCACGCCTTAGCAGCGGATTACATAGGTATAATATGTATAACACAGTTACAAAGGTATATTATAATATGTAGACAACTGCGACGTTTTGTTTTTCCGGCTGTAAAGTTTTTCGTCACGGACTAAATAATAATAATAATAATAATAATGTAAAAAATTAAAAAAAAATCGTTAACTCTGTATATGTGCAGGGGCGTACAGGTATAGGTAGTGTTTTTCTAAGCGTGATCACTGCTTTTATATTCCGTTAATGATTATAATATTACAATAAAAACACAGTGCGTTTTGTCCGCAACACTTTCGAATTCCATACTGTACGGTTTCTACACAGGATCAAAACGAAACTTAAAAAATAAAATGTAGGTAAGTACATGATATTATATTCATTATTGATGACATGGCCCAGGGGCGGATCCAGAGTTAGGAAACTGTGGGTCAGGAAATTTCAAGGGGCCACTTATTAAAACCAAATAAGAAATCTATACTTGTGTACTAGGTATATAAAACCAAAA